AGCACCATCTATTGGTTTTGAACAGAAACATTTTCAGTTTAAAAGATGGCGTCGTGTAATCGATGTTGGACCGAAAGAATCTCCGCACTGCATTGGTTAAATAAATATACAGAATTGCAAGAGTTAATGATAAATAATTAATTGGATATATCGACTATATCGATTGAACTTTTTCTGTTCAATCCTTTTTTAATTAAATCGATTAATTAAAAAAAGCTACGTTCAACTTAGCGTTAATCTTTAAATAATTTTATATGAAATTCAGATAGATTTATTGATTTCAATGTGATGCAAATATTTATATCATTAACAAAATAAAATTTTGGAAAAGAAGGTATTAATTTTTTTAAAAAAGAAAATTTATCATTTTTTAAAAATGAAAGTATATAAAAAATACACAAAAATAGAAAAGAAAAATAGAAAATCCGTCACTAATTTTCCATTTCATTTCTAAATTTCGTGTATTCTCATAATTTATTCGAAAAGAAAAATCTGAAATTCCAATCGAAAAAGATTCGTCGTCAATTTCAACGGAAGGAAAGTGTTAATAATTTTTCAAACGAAAGCGAAGAAAAAAAAAAAGAAGAAGACGAGGAAATTAGATTCGTGAATGGGGGCAATTTCGTCCACGCTTCTTTGTCGCCTGGGATTCGTAAACAAACTTGAAAACGACAAATGAAGCCTTCGCTGGCCACCACCGACAATTATTTCTCATGCATTATTTATTTCGACCGCTGCACGGGAGTGGGGAGAGGGTTGGCGCATTTTCAGCGTTCCCGCATTTTTGCAGGTCGCGGCTTAATGCGGTAGAACACGTGAAAAATTGTCGTCGCATACCGGCGTGGACGACCACGGTGTTTTGCATCGGCTGTAAAATGTTCGAAGAGCCGGATAATTAAGACCGCGGCGAGGAAAATACAACTTTTTCTCGCTCCTCCTCTTTAATTAACCCTTCTTTCGCGAACGATGTGGTGACGAATATTGGGAATTATTGTTCTCTTATCGAATAAAAATTCGCATTGTCTAATTCAACAAGTCACGAATTTTAAACATCTCAAGTCTAAACGATATTAATCAATATTCCAATTTTGGAACTTTCTCTATAATGTTGTTTAAATATACAAATTAACAACACGCAATAATTATTACATTACACGTTCTCGTATAATATTAATAATAAAATTAAAGCGTCTTAATACGCGTATCGTGGAATACGCAGATTAATACGGGGCCATCTCTGAAGCATCTCGGAGCATATTCTATCCCGGCAAGAGATATCCTGGCAAGTTGATCGCAACGGCCACCGAGTTACCCGCCCGTATGAATATTAAACGGTTTTTGAGCTGTTGTACAATTGCCGCGTCCTCGGTGGCCTGTTAAGTACACGTGGCCACGAAACCGTGTATTTGTCTAGTAAAATTAGCGATGCAATTATGCAAGGGGAGCGGAGGAGTGACGCTTTCTGAGACAGAGGTAAGCCCGGGGGGACGAAACGCGAGCGGCCAAACAACGCCGAGGGACGACGAAATCGCGAATGTATTACAGTCGCTCGAATATCGTTACCAATTAACGGTCCCAGGGCGACGAACGCTGGTCCGGCGGCCATTAAAATGCATCGCGGCCCCCCTCGTTAAACTTTTAACGGTGCAATGGAACGAAGAACAGCAATTAAAAGATAGATGCCCCAAATTACGGCCCAGCTCCACCGTGCGGTTAACGGTGAAAACACGTGGTACCAGTTTTTGGAACATTGATTCTTTTTTCTCCTCCCCTTCTTTCTTTCTTCTCTGGTCTTTCTCTAGAATACAGTGGATTCGCGAGCCCGAATTTGTAAGCTCGAATTTTTAACAGGAGAATCGTAAATCTTGTGTTATTAAAAACGATCGATTTTGAATCTTCCATCGAAGGTTAAATGGATATCTTCGATTGGACCAGCCATTTTTCCTTTAACCAAAGACGTGAGCCTTCTAAATCCTAATGAAATCCTCCCTGAAGGAACGTTCATAACGTCACATGGGAGTTGCGGGTGGAGAGTCGTGTTTGCCACGATCGGCGACGCAATTACATTATTACTCGTGGTGGTGGCGACGCCTCCACCTTTCTGAGACACGGAGAGGAAACTCCGCCTCGGGTGTACACCGTGAAGAGCGAATGCAATCGCGACGAGGTCGCGTACCAGCCTCTGCTCGCGCACTCGGTTAAGTACACTTTATTAAGCATGCTGTCTGCGCGTTGCAGCATCCACTTACGTGGTAAATGGAATTACAAACGCATCCCACCGCCACCGTGGATGCGGCTGACACCTTCCACGCCCGGTTTACGCGTGCACACGTTAAACCCGACGATCATGGAGGCGTTATGTTCGCGCGATCCTCCCTGCCAAATTGCTCGACGAATTAAATGCCGGCTCCTCGAAGAAATCGACGGAATTCGATGGAAAATCGGAGACGATGAACAAATTTAACTTCGTTAATGTTGATGATTTCGTTCGAATTGGGAGATGAGGGAAATTTTACGTAATTTCTGCATAGAAATGTGCGCATAGAAATATCTTATTGTTCTCCAAACCATCAATCAGACGCGCGAATTCATACGTCTATCAACGATCGAAAGTTGTTCCCCGCCTCGCCCAAACGAACTATAATTGAGGTTGGAAGGGGGATGAAAATTCCGCGGCGTCGGCGGCGAATTCAGCCTCGGCCGAGCGAATTACTCGCGGAGGACGCGAGGCGCGGCTCGTTTATCAAATTCGCTCGGTATGCGCCGCATCAAAGACAGGGCCGTTGATTTATTAAATTGCGGCCCGGATGAAACCGTTGGCTGGGCCGCGAGGAAAGAGGAATCTATTAACGGTGGATTCGACGTCACACCAGACGTCGCCCCTACTTCGAGCGGGTGGAGGCTTCCTTCCCAAGAAGACGAAATTATTAGAGTTCGCTACGTACACATTTATCTCGTGGTATGGCTCCGTGGTAAATAATGCGTCGAAGGTGATGAAGAGCGACTTGTTTACTTCCGCCATCACTCCCGGAAAAAAGTTTTTCACTGGGTGGAACGCGTGTGCTTTGAACTTACCTCGAGGGTGTACGTTTGGGTTCGAGTGGCATACGAATATGCATTGATCAGAAGGTGTATTTTTCTAATCGTTATTGGAATCCATTGCAAATTTAACTTAACGCCGTGGTCGAAGTGAAGTTCGTAGAAAAACAAGAATTGTTTAAGCTAACAACATTTCTTTATTCCATTATTGTCAATCACCATTATTTCATTTCGTCTCAAGCTTCGTTCTGTTTTATTTCCTTAAAAAAAAAAAAAGAAGAAGAAGAAGAAAGAAACGACGAGTATATCCAAAGATGTATTTATCTCTAGATTTTTCTGTACAGCGATAATTAAATTGTGCACAAGAAAAGTTATCTTTCCTCTCTCTCTCTCTCTCTCTCTTTCTGCAGCTAAAGATAAAGTAGAACGATCCGTGCCTAGTAGAATTCCGGCACAATAGTCGTCCACGGCGCAACCATTAATTAGATTCGCCATGAATAAGGATGGAAGAGGAAGTTGGCCAAATACGAAGGAAGATGAACGCAGGTGTTGCAACGACGGCCAAGAAGTTGAGAGAGAGAAAGAGAGAGAGTGGAAAACGTATCTCTCTCCTTGAAAGTAAATCGGAGGAGTAGGGCCGCTCCTCGGCCGGAAATGAGGCTTGCCAAGCACAATCTCCGGTCAGGGAAGGCCTCTCCATTTTGTTCTTTGTGATGTGTCCGCAATAATTGAAAATGTCCGCGCGGACTTTGCGCTCCCCTTTCTTCGAGCAAACTCCACTTCGCGGCGGACCACCACCCCCTTTCGAGGCCGAATCGCGTCATTATTGTCGAGGGAGCACAATGGGCGCCCGTGAAACGGACACAATCGAGGGAAACTCGCGTTTAACTCGCGAATCTCGCGGTTCGTTGCCGTTCTATGCAAATATTCTTCTGGCGATCATGTCTGAATCAACCCTTGTTCGCGAAGAGGGATGTTTTCTTCTTTGCGAACGGGGAAGATACGCGTACGCGCGCGGCTTGATGAATTAAATTTCTCTTTTTTCTTTACCTTGGAAATAGATGCGTTATTGGAGATCGAAAGATTTTTTTTTTTTATCGAATTTAATTCATCGGATGGAATAAATACAAATGTACCAAATATCAAGGCATTGATAGTAATTATATGATATGTATACATTTTGCATGCAAAATTGGCTGTCAATATATTGATGATTTCATTTGAAAATACGACCAATTCGATTTTTATTATATGAATATTTAAAGATTTTTGAGAGGATTTATATTTATATCTTTTCGAATATAAATAAATTAAGTTTAGTTAGATTAAAAATTGATACGAATTTTTTTATTTTAATAAAATCAATTTTTCAGCGTTCAATACCAATTTGACGAATATTATAAACAAATTCAAAAATCGATTCTTCTCTTTTTGAGAAAATTAAACAGAAGAGAAAGATTAAAATCGAGGAGTATCAAGATAAAAGTAGGGAGAAAAGGAAGAGAACCTTTTTTAGTTCAAAGATATCGGGAGTTTGCACGCTTAAAACATGTTCGACATTTTTTCCCCTGGATCGATAGCCCCTGGATCGTTTCTTCATCGATCGACGTTGACGGGCCAATCGGCCATTAAGTGTATCCCACCGATCGCAAAAAAGGAGCGCAATCAATCTTCCATAAGTCGAAGTCTTGGAAGAAACACTCGCTTTATCGAACGTTGGATCGAAAATGTAACGTATAAGGGGGCGAAATCTCTAGGTGTCGCAAGAAATTCTCGATCGAGAATCTCGAAACATCGGCCCTCGACGTGTGCAGCCAATAGTTTCGTCATCGATCAACCCAGGAGAAGCGGTTTCTTGCGCCCGTGTGTGTGTGATTTTCATTGAGTGGCATGTTTCGATTTGCATGTATATCGGTTAGGGGGGGGAGTTAGCAGCTCATAGATCTCTTCTTTGGTTTCAGGTAGCAGCGAGGAATCGAGACCTGGGGGTGGGGATCCTGGAAAGTTGGGGGTGAAGAAACCAAGACCGAAGGCTTCGTCGCCCAACCGACAGGGACCACAGCAGTGCCAGGTAGGTGTTTCGTTTTGCTTGTAAATTGTGTAAACAATTGAAAATCTTTAACAAGGCTAATCATTTTGTTTAATTCTTTTTTCTCTCTCCGTCTTGTGGAAATTTTGCATTTAAAGGATTCGAAAAGAGTCGATCAATGTAAGTCACGTTTCTTTGTTTGGATTTATTGATATGTTAATTAAATAATGCTACTTGAATAATAATTCTTGATTGGTTATAACCGATAAAGAGATTTAGAGATTATCATTTACATTGATTGATTTCTGAACTTAAAATATACACTTTTTTTAATTCGAATTAGACGTGAAATATTTTTTATCGTATTCAATTTGCTGAATTAAAATTATGTATTGCGAAGAGAGTGAAGATTGATTCCTTCTAATGAACGTTGAATCAGATTAATTAGGCTATCTTTTTTTAGGTTGTCGCTCTATCATCGAGTGTTTTCTTTTCATTTTAGATCTAACGAATAATTCTATTAAAAATTTCGAATACTCGATAAACTTTCTATATATTTCTCACTTTTTATTTACATAAAAAATAAAACAAAAAAGTGTTAATAACATTAAGAACGAAAGACTTACACCGTGTCTATACATCTATACATCTATACATTTAACACAGAAAAGCAATTTCATGAACAATTTAAAAAAAAAAAAGAAAGAAACACTTTTCTCACTTTTCCAATACTAAACCCTCTGACACAATTTCCTTTCAACGTCTGAAACACAAAAGATGTCATTCCACGGTCGAATTCACGCGGAAGGAAGAGATAACGGAGGCGAGAATTCGAAACATGTTTTAATGTCAAAGTTGAATCGTCGATCCGATCACCGTTCCCGATGACGTCCGTCCGACAATTTTATTAGCTCGTGAAGACCGACTGCGAGGAGAATTTCCAGCGAAATCCAGTTCATTAGCAACGATCGAATTAAAAGAACGATCGATAGCAAACGAAGTGTGGCTCGCGGAACCGCAAGTCTACGAAATCCATGCTTTTATTCCTCTCGCTCGTTTCGCTCGTTTTTACTCCCCGCTATTGTTCCACTTGTACTTCACGTTTTATCGCTTTTGTTTCCCTAGGCAGTTTGCTTTTTCGTTCTTTTTTTTTTTTTTTATTTTTTCGTTTATGATTCTCCATGCATATCCTGCACTCTATGATATTATTATTTTTATTTATTTATTTATTTTTTTTTTCGTCTATTTCTCCTGCGGTTTCAGTTTCCTTGTATATTTTTCGAAATAAATTCTTTTCTTTTTCATCGTGTTCCTCGTATATTTTTTCTTTTTTTTTTTTTTTTTAAGGCAGAATATATGAATGTTTGAATTTCAAATTGCCTCGAAAGCGATTGGAAGAAATTGAATATCGTATATGCGTCGGGAAGTGTTAAAAAAAAAACGTAATAAACTTGTATAGAAATTATTCGATACTATTAATTGATCAAATTGTTAATTTTCAATTTTCTTTATTTTTATAACAAAATTTTCAAGTTTTTTTTTTTATATACTTGTTACTCGAATAAAATTATCTTTATTCCATGAATGATTATTGTGGCATAATAGAGAATATAATTATTTGTTATTAATTGCTAATTCAGATTTCACAAATATTACGTAGCTTTAGCTTCGTTCCAAAACATATCTGTGTAACTATCGAATTAGGGCAAAAGTTCAAGGCCGTTTCGGAACCATCCGCTTCGTTAGTCCGGTTCGATTTAATTTCTATTCCCAGTTTCTGAACAAAGTCAAGAGAAATATTGGGATTGAGCTCTCTCGATTTGCAATTTTATTTATTACCTTGAACTCTATTCAATATATAGAGCATAAAGATAATTTCCTCTACATCTTTGATTTATACGTATTATATTATTCCGTGAATGAATTATTTATATTTGTTACAATTTTTATCGTGTGAAAATATGGAAAATGAGAAAATATAATTAATAACGTTACAATTTTCCAATATTTTTGATAATTGCGAGTAAATTTAAAATCGAACGCATTTAATTTATAAAACTCTCATTAAAGAATATTTTTGCGTATTTTTGATAATTATCATTAAGTAGAAAATTTTCGACTAATAAAATTTACATCGAAAAAAAAAACGCGTTAAATTACACGTTAAACGATATCTATTAAACCATTAAACCGAAATTAATTGTTGGAAATCTAATAATTCAATTAAATCTATTTGTATCGTCGAAATTTATCTAACCAGTTAAATGCTCGAATGCTCCGCTTAGATACAAATGGCTGTAGAATAAATGTAGAAACGATTACATCCGTGACATTCTCTGTTAATTTACATCACGAATTTCCTGTATGTTAATAATTAAACACATTCGTTGTGTACAAGGCGAATAACATAAACTGATTTTCGAATAGATCCAGCTCGGCAAATTTAATTTTATTCTCTTTGAAGATATTTCGGCGGCGACCGTGTTTAAATTTATATTAATTAAATGCTGTTTCTTATAGGATTATTGTCTCTCAAACGTATCGAGTTCTTTGAAGAATATATCTTCAAATTCCCATTCAATTTTCATTTGATCGAATAACAATTTTCACAATAATCGTTTCATATTTTCTTCTTAAAAGAATATCATATAATGTTATAAATTTAATTCTATGACAATTATCCTACGACAAATTAAATTTTCATCTCAATTTTGAAATTATTCGACGAGTTTAAGCAGATGTAATTTACTAAGAAATCGAAAGAAAGCTTACACTTTTTCGTTTTGTCTATCCAAATTTCTGATTTACATCAGATTTACATGGATAGTTAATTCTGAAATTACACGTACTAATGAATTAAGAATCAGAATATTCCAGAATGGAATTTATAATTAGAATTAAAAGATTGTAAATTAAAAGAGTAAAAACAGAAGCTGATATATAATTAAATTCTCGTTATATTATTATTCTAGAAAACTAATTAAGATTTATTCAAATACTTCCATCTCACCTTATATTCATCTCTTAACCCAATTACCTCACTTTCTCAATTTTTTATATCACAATATCTTTCGAGATAGATAACCAAGTCATGCTCCCTTAAATATCTTTTACTTAATATCCGCACAAAGGGAAAAATATATCAAATATTTCAAAATAAAAATCCCGAAGTAAATTCCCCCGAAAGAGAGAAGAAAGTGAAAATCCATTTTCAATTATCCACTCATTTTCTCTAAATTCAATTACCCTTTCGCCTCAAGTCTCGATTTCAAACCTTCGTTTCCATCCCCCCCAAAATTATTCGACGATCCGTACATACCATCGATGATCGAAACACGCATTTTCGCGTGACCCAGATCGGTATGAAATGACCGGAACACGAAAGCCACGCTTCTGTCGATACCTATTTATGCAGGTGAGCTCGCAACAGCCGAGCCGGCGTGTACACACGCGTGTACGGGGGTCGCGTTTCACCAACACTCGTGGACAATGTGTAACTCGGAAAGGCTATTGAATATTCAGGCGGCACGATCCTCGAGCATCCACGGGGAACACGCCGCCTCGTCGAGTACAACACACGAACGCAATATCTCTTCGCTCGCGTAACCGAGCAGCGTAGTTACGTCAAGGACCATTTAAAGGAGTACCCCTGTTTTTCCTCTCTTCTTCGTCTTTGCGCGCCGTGTTTAACTTGCGTCACGTTGCCCTTATTTCCTTCTTTATTTTATTTCATTTCACCAAGTATATTCAAGGAATATGAAATGTAACTTTACGAGAATCGTTACAAAAACAGGGTACTTTTGATCGATAGATTGAAGATTATCACGAAGAGACAAATTTAAAAAGAACGCTTCTCCCGCTCCACTTTTTATTGCACAAATGCATTTTCCCGACGAAGGGATGGAGCTAATTCGATATCTCCTCGATATCTAACCCGATCCATTATCTCGAGAGGAGCGTCTTCGTCTCGTATCAGAGAATCGGGTAGCCGGGAAACGAAGGGCCGTGAATTACGGTTCGCCTTGTTACATAATTAAATGATGGCTTGGCCGACTTGTTGACAAGCCCCGTCGATGTATCGAGTTAGCGACGAATTAAGCCGATCCTCCACGGCTCGATTATGGCTCGGATATCGGCGTTAAGGATCCACGAAGGAGAAGGAGGAGGAGGAGGAGGGAGAAGTGGCTGCTGGCCTCGTGGCTCAACGACGCGGTGACGTCGATCGCCCTGTAATTTTACGGGAAATTAATAGTTACTGGTTGCGCAGGGATCGTGAAAACCTTGGCGAGTCGGTCGCCACCCCTCCGTTTTATCCCTCAATTATCGGCAATTCGTCGTTCGCCGTCGTTTGATACTTTTTAATTGACGGCCCATTTTCAAACGGCACTCGAACAGTTTTATCGATGCTTTTAATAACTTTGAGTCGTAATTTTTAGAACAGTTTTTTTGAGGAGTCCTGTCAAGTTTGGGAAGAAGAATGAAACCAATTTACTCGTGTAATGATATTATATATATATATATATAATTGAATATAAAGGAATGTTCGTTTTTATTGTATTCGGTTAATTTTAATTTAAATTGTTAAAGTGAGAAGTGTATTATTAAAATTGTAATTATAATTATGAATTATAAAAAAAGAAGGATGTTAATTTTATTAACGTTACCCCGAATAATAATTATATTTTGAGGAAAAAGTAATCGAAAAATTGTACGTGATAAATCTGAATTTTGATAAGTTTTATCCTTGACACCACTTCTTCACCAGGTTCCATCGCTTGTATGCATATTTTTGTATCTTTATTAAAATTTAATGTAAAAATAGCTCGTTTTATTTCGAGCTACATTTTGTCAACATAACGTATGATAATGTAATTCTCTGAACGAATATAAATCAAACCTAATTTTCACAAACTTTGATCTTGTCACCCTTGCTCATCTGTATTTTTATTAATAATTCAAGAGTACGCAATTTGTTTTTTATTTAAAGCAAAATTTGTTAAATACGCGAATGAAAAATTGCATAAAAAAAAAGTCTGAAACAA